AATTTTGTTATATATATTATAAATGGATTCTTTGGAAAAAGAATTTTAAATCTATCTTTGATTATACAATAGATAATATAATATAATATATTTAGGTTATGTTTGACATATAAGTTGAAGCATAAGATACTAATAATCTTATCATATGTTTGTTATGCATTTAAATAAAATGATTGGATTATTGAAAAGATTAGATATTATATACCAATATGATAACTTTAACGTTTGGAAAAGTAAGAGATTATTTTTAATTCATAGGATTAAAAAAGTATGTCCTATTATATCTTTAAAAATTATATCAATAATTTAAATTGTATAAATTTTGAAGAAAGATAATTTTGACCAATAAATAAATTATCATATCTTAATCTTTGTACATATTAAATATAAGATAAGATGATATTATTTAATTTAATCTTATTCATAATATTATTTTATCTCATCTTATCATAATCTTGTTTATTAAATATGACCTGATCCTATGTTTTGTACATAAGATGATCGATAAAATATAATAATAATCCTATACCATATTTGGTTTGTATAAAAAAAATGATAAAATTGTAAAAATGATTAATTATTATTTTGGCATAGAATGATTCAATTTTTTCAAAATAAAAAAGATTATTTTAATGTATAAGATTGAATTTAAATATCTTATTATTATACTTTTAAAAATAATATAAATTTTGAAAAAAAAAATTTGACGAATAAATAAAATTATTCTATTTAATCATTGCACATATTAAATGTAAAATAAGATAATATTATTTAATTTAATTTTATTAATAATATTATTTTATTTTTTATCATAATATTATATATCAAACACATGTTAAATAATTTACCTATGAACTTATTTACAGGCGTTGGGAGATAAATTTAATTTATAATTCGGATCAACATTATCCGATTAATAAATAGAAATATCTCTTAAGTGCAAAACCATTGTTCACTTTCTTTGTCAAAAAAAAAAAAAATTACTAAATCACAAATTTTCTAACAAGTTAAAATAACAATAATAATAATAATAATAATAAACTACAACTTCGCTTGGCAACTAAAAATGCGCGCTACAAATGTTTGTAACAGCAAGCAGTATCTTTTCATTTTCAATTAGGTTGCATATATTATTCTAGCATTTGTGGCATTTTACAACTCACAAGCCATTTGTCACGCAAAGAGATATATAGTACATAATAAGAAGTACTCTGTTTTTCCCCCTTTGCAGATATAGATCTACGATGCATTGAATGCCATACATGGCCCTATCTATCTAAATAAATCCATTTGATGGTGGAGGAGCGGCCATACCTAGCTAAGAAGAGGTTAGTCACAGGGCAAAAGGAAAGTATGGGCCTTTGGTCCCATGTATGACAATCGAATTCACAAATAGTAAATGAAATGGAAATTTGTGAACCCAAAAAAGGCAAGGGCAGGTGGAGGACCCCAGGCTGAGTCCCCTATCTATGGTCGTTTTAGCATGGGCTGCTACCTCACCCCCACACCATTATTGTGAGCCTTTGACAATCCCCACCTAACCCAACACTGCCAACAAGCCTAGCCCTACCAATGGATTAGAAATCATTCCAAACACACCCTTATGGTTCATTTCCCCCGCCATCTAGGGTTGGCATCAGGTCGGATTCGAGGCGGGTTTTGCTCGCCCCGAATTCGATCTGACTTTATGCATTAATAAGTTCGAACTTGACCCTACCTGATTTTTTTTTTATTTTTTCATACCTAAACCTGACCTTGACCCGATATTATATAAATAGTATCCGATTCGATCCGATTCGAAATTAATAAAATATTATTTTTTAAATATAAATATTTAAAAATATCATTATATAAATATATATATAATTAAAAAATAATTTTTTATATAATATCAGGTCGGATCGGGTTTGCCTAAAACCCGAACCCGACCCGAATCCGATTGTTCTCTAACCTTATCCGACTTGACTCGACCTGAAACCCGAATTTCAAAAAAAAAAATCGACCTCACAGTGTCAAATCGGGTCGGAACCCATCAGAGACGGGTTGGATCGCCGTCCCTACCGCCATCACAGATGTCTTAATTCAGATCACATTTACCTCTCTAGGAACCAAATATTATGGTTTGTAAGACGCTATATACCAATTTATAAAATACTATCTGTTTTTATTTATTAATATTTATGATTTTATCTTACAAAAAAATTTTGCAAATTAAAAATAACATGAATACTTATATTTTCAATTAAATTTTAATACATAATTGATACGAAATTTATAAATATTTTTTTAAGATCATTACATTTTCCTTACTCCAAGGATCATTCTTGATGATATATATCACTAATACCTAGAGTTAGCTCTAATATTAAATATCATTGCTCACATCAACTTATAAGATATTATTTGCTTCAATCAATTAAACCTCATAATTTTATCTTATAAAATAAACCTTACAAATTAAAAGTGATAAATCATTTATATCTCAAGTCGAATTTTAATACAAAATCAATTTGGGATTTATAACTTTTCCCTAAGATAATGACTTTCTCTTTTTCTCCAATAAAGATTTGCTGTCCTTGATGGTACAATGCTAGTATTTGAAGTTGATTTTAATATCAATGTTATAATTCATATTTATTTATAAAATATTATCTACTTTGATAAATTAAAATTTACTATTTTATCTTATAAAATACGTATCATCTAAAGATTATGTGATATTTACGTTTTAAGTCAAACTCTAATATACAATGGATATGGGACTTATAATTCTTCTTTAGGACCATGGTACTGTAGCTGTAATTCTGCAGCTACATTTCGCCGTTCTCTAGTCTTCTTCACGTTCAGAGAGCTTGACTAGTCCCTTTGAGTCGAATGATTTTCCTCATTCATGTTCATAAATATTTTTCATTTTTTCTCGAGGAGGGAGATGATGGTATAATATTTCTGCTTTCTTTCAGCCTCAATTTGTTACTATTAATTATTTAAGTTAAATTAAGAAATTAAAGATCTTTTAGTACTTTGATTTACAAGTTCTACAAATCAAAGGGTCGTGTGTCATTCACTTCCCATATGGTAATAGTACGAATTATTTTATATCGAAATTTTTTATGCGTAAAGAGGGTTTGGAAACCATCAAATCTTAAAATAATTACTAAATGAAACATGCTCACTATCCCACTGAAATAATTATGATAGCAATTGAAGTCCCATTTCTAGCTACCACCTACAATCCGACCAAAGCAAATTGTACATTTATCTAAAAAACGAAATACCACAGCTGTAATCATGAGAAAAATAGTAATATCCTTTGATCCAATTCTAACCAATGTGATCAATATTCTGCGGAGAAAATTTAATATTCCTTCCTCTATCCCCTTCGAATGAATATATATATATATATATATATATATATATAATACCTACACTTAGTTATATAATAATGGAAAATAAAACGAATTACTAATGGCCATCTTGTACTTGGGATAAAATTTCTTTTTGTTAGTAGTTGAGAGAAATTTAATTCTATTCAAACAACACTTTGAATTTAAAATTTGAAATTAATGTACATCTTTTATATTTTTAATACAAAGAAATTGATTTGAAAATAAGAAAAAAAATACAAATATTGAAATAAAAATAGCACATACTAAAATTTGAATTGTTCTGTTTACAAATAACAGTCTCAAAAATAGAGGAAAAAAGGCAAAAGTTTAAACGGGAAAATTTTACATGAAATTTATTAGGTAAAATTAGTGAAGTTATATATTAAAATTAATTAAATAGAAACTAAAATAAAAAATCAAAATCAATAGATTGAAAGTTCTTATTATATAGATAAAATATACAAATTTTGAAAAAAAAATTAATAAATTTTTATATATATTTTAGGCATTTTTAATAAAATGTTTACTATTAAATGAGTACTAATCAAATTTAATTATAAACAATATTTTTAATAATATTTTTTATATATTATTGATCTTCTCATTAATCTATTGGTTTAAAATTTTTATTAAATTATTTTCAATAAAAAATTTTACAAATTTCATATAAAAAATTTTAAAATTTTTATTAAATCATTTTTAATAAAAAAAAACCTTTACAAACTTTATTTAAAAATTTTCGTATTATTAAATCATTTTTAATAAAAATTTTCATAAACTTCATCTGAAGAATATTAAAATTTATTTAAAAAATATTAAAATTTTCATTAAATCATTGTTAATAAAAAAGACTTCAAAAATGTCACGAAAATATTAACATTTTCATTAATTCATTTTTAATAAAAATAACTTAAAAAATTTTACAAAAAATTTCACCTTAAAACTTTGTGTAAGTTCTTCCCCTATTTAAACCTCATATTGCAATAGAAGTTCATTTTAAGATGGAAGGCGTGTGTTTACGTATATATTCTTGTTAAATATAGCCTGCTGGTGGCAGCTAAGAAACAAAGTTTTAGTTTTCACACCGTCACGTCCAGAAGAAGCAGCCAAAAAATATCTGGCAAATAAAACGAATCCCCTCAGCCCGATCGATAATAATGCCTCACCTCTCCAAATCTAGTCGCCGCCTCACCTCTTGCATGTTTGCCACGTAATCCAATCAGATTTAGTTTGCCACCTAAGCCGTGATCAGATCGCAAATATCTTCTTCAAGTTTTGAGCATGATTCTCGACCCAAAATCTCGTTATTGCTACATTAGGTTAACCACGTAGGCTACATGCAAGATTATAAACTACTACTGTGCTTGGTAGAAATAAAATTTTCACGTCAATAATTCGAAATTCGAGAGTAAATAAAAGAAGATCAGATCAGATCTTCAAAAAAAACATACCAAAAAAAAAAAAAAAAACTCAAACAAACTTAAACAATCTTAATTTTAAAAACAAACAAGAGCTTGAAACAATAATCAGATTAGCAATATTAAAGGAATCACACACATACATATAAATATACTTTAGAGATCAGATATATATATATATATATGTATGTATGTATTTACGGCTGTTGCATGACAGTATTTACAAATGCAATTCTCCTTTCATTTTCGTCATCATCTCCTCCTGATCTCTACATCAATAGCTCATTGACCCACCCAAGATCAGGATCAGGACCAGAAGCCACGGTGTTTTCATTGAGCTTCTCATCACCACCAAATCCTTTTGACGTTGCACCAAAGTATTCCCCAGATCCAGAAGGGCTTGCCCCGGAAGGAGATAGAACAAACTGTGTCTGGTCTTCCCCATTGAAGGAAACATCAAACCAGGGAATGTTTGTAGACAGGTCGTTCCCACCAGCCATCGGCGAAGAGACTTCACAGAAATTCATGTTCTCCAAAGAGCTCATCAGCTTGTTAAGCACATCCTTGTAACTCATCATTTCGGTTCCAAACTTCCTCAAACGATCACTGTACCTAGAAATTGGTAAAAACCCACTTAAAGATGTCCGCTGCTTCGCAGGAGACAAAGGCGGTGATAAAGATGGTGACCTTGACAAATGAGACAAACCCAACAGAGTACTCGTAGGAGAGGAGGTAACAGAGTGACAAAACAAGCAGCAATGATTATTCCTGTTCATTGGGGAAGAGATGCAAGGGCTTGAATTTTTGTACTTTAGAGTTGCCGCAGGCAAGATACGTAGCTCACGAGAAGAGTGAGCGAAAAAGCAAACCTTGCGCTTGCAATTTTTGCCATCCTTGCAAGCTTCAGTTCTGTAGCGGGTAGGGTGTAGCCAGCACTCGAATACCCCATGTGCGAAGTCACAATCATCCCCGCGAGGGCACCCACCGCCATGGCGGAAGTCAGAACAGACGGTGGAGGAGTAATGGTAGCGACAAGGGTCACGGCGGCGGGCCTTCTCGCCAGGATGAGCAAAGGGACAGTCAGTCCAATCATGGCTCCTGCTCCTGGTGCACCTTCTCACCTTGAATTCATACATGCGGAAATGGTCAGTAGCATAGGGATCGGAGTCATTGTCTTCATCTTCATTGCTGCTCCTGTTGGAAGGCAGGTATTTCTGAAGGCTAGTTTCGTAGGGAAGTTGCATGGTGGTGTTTTCTGAGATGTGATTGGAAGAAAGGAGGAGTTTCCTCGTAGGAATTTCGATGTCGTCTTTGAAGGGTAGTTTCTTGGCGAGTTGGTGAGAGGGCTGGAACTTGTGTTGCTCGGCACAAGCAGTGCTCATCTTTCCTTTAGGGGGGATGGCTAATGGCCTAATAGCTAGTTTGTTAAAATTAAAAGGAAAAGAAAGGGATGTCTTCAGCTGCTGATGGATAAGGGAACAAAAGGGCTTGGGATGGGGGCTTACATATATTGTTGGTGGATTAAAGAGAAAGAGAAAAAGGAGAGGATTAGGCAAAGGTATGGGCAAAGAGATGCGTGGCTGCATAGCATTAGGGATGAGCATGCAAAAAGGTGCATGTGGCAGCTTCACAATGCAGAGCACGCAAAATCTTGCTATGTGTTTGCTTATTATTGAGAAATCTGAGTGGGCTTTGAAAACTTTTTTTTTGTTTTTGGAGGGTTTCGATGGCCTGACATGATCCTCACGGTTTTGGAATTTTGGGATCAAAGAGTCCAACAAGTAGCAGTGCCAAACATTGTCAAATTCATTAATTATTACCATTTATAATGTTTTGGTTTGTAAATTAATATTTTCCTATACACTTGTCAATTTTGTACCACGCGTCTTGCCTTGTTGTAGTCATTTACTCAGTTGCTCCAGCATGAGGTGGAAAATTTATTGTTAGTTTTTTTAGCTTTTCGGAAGGTAAAATCCTATACCTTTTTAAAATCAGAGCACAAACTTTGAAGTTTGAAAACAATGGCAACGCTTTTTTATTATTATTTCCGAGCCCTGTCATGCCTTTGAATTAGAAAGCTTATGGTAGGGATCACATCGGAGTATCTGAACATTATATAATTTAGGTTGAGATTAAGGTAAATTTATCTAAAAATAAGATTGATTTATTATTGGTCCAAATTCACACATAAATAAAGTGGGTTGAAATAAAGAGATTATGTTCACATTAGTTAAAAAAAAAAGATCATGAATATTATGTTCACATGTAAAAAAAAAAGGTCAGTTTAAGGAGTAAATGGACAGATTATGTTCACATGTAAATCTCATGATTTTAGGCATGATTCTAGCAATACAATATGAAAGTTTCTATACTTGGAGGGATGTTCCTAGCCTATATATTTTCTATTATTCTTTGGTAAAATGCAAAATAGAGTTTTATTTATCCTTAGGCAATCTTTTTTATTGTTATTCAAGTTCTGTATCTCTTAGGTGGATTTTCTAGAGTGGTAAACTTTTTATTGTTTTGTATCCTTGATTAGAATTCTTAAGGTGGTGTTTCTGTATCCCTTAGTTTCTAGTCTTGGTGGTGAACTCTTATCCTTTTTAATCCAATAATCATATTATGCTATTATTCAAATTCTTGCGAATTATCTTTGTTGTGAGTTTTTCTGTTTACAGTTAATCTCCATATCTCCAACTTTAATTTTCGGCATCAAATTGGTATCAGAGCTATGGTAGGTCGTCGTCATCAAACACTAATAGAAGAGGTTGAAGCCAACACCAATGTAGCAGCAACGATCATTGTTGACCTAAAAGATGCCCTTATAGAGGAGATGCTGCAATAGATCCTTCAACTACAACATCGACTGCATATACAAGAAAAAAAAGAAGGAAATGAGGAGGCAACAAAGAAGAAACGAAAAAGATGAAGGAAAAACCAATCCATTCCACGAAAATAATAGTGATTCTGACGATAGCACCCTATCTCACCCACGATAAGTCAAAGATTATCTACACAAAAACTAACTTCAAACTAACATATTCAATCCAAAGATAGAGATTCCTGAGTTCGAGGGGAAGATGCAACCTGAAGAATTCTTAGATTGACTACATACAGTGAAACGCATATTTTAAAACCATGATGCCTCTGAGCATCGTAAGGTGATGCTAGTGGCCATCAAACTTAGAAAGCATGCATCCTTTTGGTGGAAAAATTTGAAGAAACAAAGAGAAAGAAAAGGCAAGAGAAAAATTACAACTTGAAAGAAGATGAAAAGAGAGTTGAAGAGGAAGTATCTTCCAAATAACTTTCGACAATATGTCTTCCTTAGGCTCCATAACTTGAAGCAAAGGGATCTTTTAGTGAAAGAATGCATTAACAAGGAAAACACGTCCAAGACCAGTGGTTCTACTAAATCTCCTTTAAATCTACCCCTAAAGAAAGAATGAGCCATTTTCATCAAACCACAATCTAGTACTATCAACACTCAAACCCAAAGAGACTTCAAGAGCTAAAGAGTTGGGCATATACATTATGAGTGTCCAAATCTCAAAATAGTTACGTTGGTTGAGGATGAAGATCTTGAAGATGCTGAAGGAAAACCTATTAAAGTACCCGAGATTTTGAAGAAAATGTTAAAGAGACCTATAATGATCTTGAATCCTCACTTGTTATACAATACAGCTTAAGTGATGTGCATGTAAAGAAAAGAGATTGGTTGCATAAGAATAAATTTCACACTAAAAGCGAGAAAAATAAAAAGAGAGTCACCATCAATCTTTTTTAGGATGTGATTGGTCACCAAAAAATTTATCTTTTTAATAAAAACTATAAAAACGGGTTTAAAATTTATCAAAAAGATAAATTTTGGTCTATAAAAATCAGGTTGTGTTTGGGAATTGGTTACATGTGAGGAAGGATTAGCACCCGCACTACGCCTATAAATTGATACCATTTAATCATGCGCTATTTTTGGTGTTGGATAAAAAAATTTATTTTAAAATTTAATAATAATCTTTTTTTATCATTTTAAAAGAAAGAAAATTAATTTTATCAAAATTTTTATTTAGGAGTATCGAGAAAATCTTTAAGTTAAAGAATTATCTTAAAATTCTCTAACGTCTAAGCAGAATTTAAAATAACTCTTTTCACTTAAAATTTAATACAATATCCTTTAAAATAAAAATAACACTCATTGCAAGAAATGATTATTGGTGACTCTCCAACATCTAGGCAGAGTACCAAAAATTATTTTCTTTGGAATATTATTTTTGTTTTATTTTATAATATCACAATTTTAAAAGTAAGTAAATTGAAAAACATTTTTGTGCGAAAAAATACATGGTGGTATTATCAGATAACAAGTAAAAATTAAGGACAATGAGATGTAAAAGATTGTAAACAATAACAAAATAAATGTATTTGAGCCAATAGGTATTGCGTATAATGATAAAATGCAAATTTAAAATTGGATTCTTGAATATAACGAGATGACCTTGACTCTCCAACATCTAAGCAGAGCTTGGATGCGACTATTTATATTTAAGATCCCATTATATTATTATTCTTATTTATTTATTAAATATTAACCCCATTGTTAAAGCGAATTAAAACCTCATGAGAAAAACTTAATGGAATAAGATTTCTTTAAATATCTCATCATTTAGGCAGCATTCGAGAATAAATTACTCAAATTGAGATTTTTGCATGTATCTTTAAAACTTCGAAATGGTTTTGAATACAGATATACGTTAGGGCTTTAAAGGTCGGGGTTTCAAGATTTTGGAATTTTGGATTTTAGGGTTTTGGTTTGAGTTTCAAGGGTTTTAGGGTCTTAGGGTTTAGAGGGTTTTAGGGATTAAATTTTAGGGTTTGGTGGTTTGGGGTTTTGATTTCAAGGTTTAAAGGGTTTAAGGTTTTACTTTTAGGATTTGCAGGATTTAGGGTTTTGATTTTAGGGTTTAGGGGTTTAGAGTTTAATTTTTGGATTTGAAGATTTGGAGTTTTGATTTTAAGGTTTAGAGTATTTGGGGTTTGATTTTAGGGTTCCAATTTTTGGGTTTTGATTTAGGGTTTAAAGGGTTTAAGGTTTTAGTTTTAGCGCTTTGAGGATTTGATGTTTTCCTTTTTATTTTAAAAAAATGCCAACATATCTAAAAATATTTAATATCTATATGGACTTTTGGAGCAAGTTTGATTTTTATGATTTTCAAAAATTAATTAAAAATTTTCATATATTTCTTTTTTTATGAAGATTTATTATTATTAAAATTAATAATTTATTACTATTATTATTACTATTATTGTTATGCTTTTTTTAATTTAATTATTATTCTTTTTATACCTTTTTTTAATTAATTTTTATATAATAATTTCCTAATATCTAGGCGAAATTATTTTTGAAAGTATGTTTTTGTTCCCTCCAACATCTAGGCAGGAAAAATAAAATAAAATAAAATAATTTAATTTAATTTTTATTATTAATTTTTATATTATTATTATTTTTTTAGCATTTTTAATATTTTTTAATTATTATCCTACTTGTTTTTATTTTTATTATTATTAAAAATAATTAAATATTTATTCTAAAAAAATTTAAAAATTTATCATGCATAAATATTAAAAATAAAGTGCAAAATAACAAAAATAATAATATATTAAAAAATTAAAAAAATTACCTGAATCGAACCGGTCAACATCGGTTCGAGCAGTTCAGGCAGTTCAACCGTTCTGTCCGGTTGAACCAGATGAGGGGCTGTTCAGCGATCGGTTCAAGGCTGGTTAAAGGATGGGTCATCGGTAGGGTCACGCGGATCCTAGGTCATAACTGGGTCCACGCGCGGATCCTCTCATTGAGCAAAACGACGCCATTTTGCTTCAAGTTTTCTCTATATAAGCTTAAGATTTTTTTTTTGGCTCATTTCTTCTTATGCTCTAGAAAAAAAATCTTTGGCTTAAAAAAATTCTCTAGCTTTACTAGAGTTTGGCATTGGACCACCATGTCGGCCATTGCCTAAGGTCACCGTCGGTGGTCGCCGACGATCGTGCAATCGTCGAAAATATGAAAATTCTTCCCCAAGTTCTTTCCAACACCCTCTTATCAAATATGGCCTTCTTTTCGTCAAAAACAGCCCCGATAGGCGTAGATCAAGGCTCAAAGTTTTTGTTTTTGTTTTTCCTTTTTTTTTTGAAAACTAAAACTTATATATTTCTTTTTTCTTTGCAGGTAGCTCGATGCTATTAGTTCCTCACCTAATTGGCGAGGATTTGTTACTTTTTTTATGTTTCTAGTATTTTTTTTTTGCTAGTGAGGGGTGTTTGTATGGGTGGAAGCTTGGCACTGGGGTTTGCGAAGTGGTGTCTTGAACGAGCAAAGGCTATGGTCGAGGGGATAACTAAGCAGAGGTGCAGTTGGGGTTGAGCTAGGGTTCGGTTTGAGAGTTTGGTTTTTGGG